TAGAGATAGAGATAGAGATAGAGATAGAGATAGAGATAGAGATAGAGATAGAGATATAATGAAGGCAGCACATTCAACGAGTAAGTAGGATGTTCAGCTCAATCAGAATCACTGAAATAATGCAATGAGTATACAATACAGTAGGGATGAATGTATCTCTATTGTGCTTTAACTTCTAAAAGGAAGATCTCCAGGAAAGCAGCCAAAATAGCTGCAAGGAGCACAAGAGGATCAGGGTATAACCCTTAGAGCCACATAAGAAGGGAAAGGGGAGGCAAATCAGTGCTTTGGTTGCTGATCTAATTTAAGTGGATAGTAATCCTATTTTGGACAATGGAGGCAGAAGGCAGCAGCACATGTCGCTTTATGTTCCTCTTAGAGAATCCATCTTGTATTTTGAGAGCCCTAAGATGTCCATTAAAACATCAGTTGAGATACAGTGGAAGGTCTCTATTCACGAGGCCCCTTGTGCTTACCTAAGCCACTTGGTTCTGAACCATCTTTTGATGCTGTCGAGACTTATTGGTCCACCCCAAACATTTCTCAGCTGCCTGTGAGTCCCTATATAGGATGTGGTCAAAGGAGAAACATACATGGGGTATCCCAGAGGCTGGTCACATGAGGAGTTAATCAGGTTCCTCAACACCTGTTTGTTGTTTTGGATGCTGCCTCGCTCTGGGTTACGATTGCGTAAAAAAATAAGTTCCTGTTGCTGTCCAGCCCAGAGCCCTCTGACACACTCCTTGTTAACCTAAAAGCAAACAAAAGTAAAAACTATGTGGAAACATTTTGGAGAGAAAATGGATGGGGGTTGCAATCCTCCTGCTGTTCGCACTGCAGAGTTGCTTACCTCAAGGCCACATGGTAATTTGGAAGTGCTGGGCCTGCTGTAATTCCCCCACCCTTCCTTTGGAAGATTTGGGGGGGTGTCATTTTCTGTTATGAGAAATGCAGCTATTTAGATTTATATTAAGCACAGGAGATGATTTCTGAAGGTACAGAGTTTTTCTTTCAATGTTTATAAAAGGACTGATGTAAGTGGGCCAAGCTGGAGTTGGGGAAGTGTATACTCTTCAGTGGGCAGAAAACTATACAGAAATTTGTGTCATGGCAACAGCTCACTGTATGACAACTCTCTTTGCTGGAAGTACAAGTTTATTTTTTCATCATCACTTGACTCATGGTCAGTCTTAAAAAATGGAGGAGGAGCCAGAAGAGCCCAGGAACTCCAGTGGACCAATACTGTCATCTAGAACTAGGGCTAAGCTGAGCATAAGTCAGCTAGCTGGTAGCCAGTACAACTGCTGTGCATCTGAGAACTGTAGACATTCTAACAAGCCATGTTCAACAGTGAATTTAACACTGAACATATAAACTGCTGCTATGTATTCACACATACATACACACTCCTAGACTGCTGTTATATGATTATCATTATATGAGAAATATATAAATATGAGAACTATAAATCATTGTATAGTTTAGTCACTCTGTGGGACTGATTGGCTTTTTGGAGGTGATGGGGAAAACAAGAGTTCCCCATGTATGTTCTCTTGGCAGTGGTGCCACTAAGTTAGGTAAGAATTTACTGGTCTAATGGGGGTCAAAGACTACTTTCAACAGCCATTCAAATTATTTTCTTTGAAATAACAAAATCAGCATCTCTAACTATGATCCTGCCCAACTGCCCACCCTCTGATTATAAAATGCTTTTAAAAATAAGAAAGCAAAAGCAGTGAGCCCATGGGGTTCCGACATGCCTGTTAATCCAAATATTGATTCTGGACTTGGAAACTGCTGTTCCCATCACTTTGCCACCCTGCAGAGTCGCTAAATGCCCTTCAGATCCCAGATTTAACCTTTGCTATACCACTGTGTCAAGAGACTTATCTAGCCAGAATGGAAATAAAATTCTAAACACAGCAGCTATTAATGTAAAAAAATCTAACAATGAAAATGAGGCAGAGGGTACCTTGATAACTTTGAAGCTCAAGTAGCTTTTGTGGAGCATAATAACTTTATATTCATCCGTTCCTTCTTCCACCACATGCCTAAAAGTGAGAAGCTCTTCTTTGTTTGAGAGGATGGCACTACGCCAAGCAGGATCCCCTTCGTGACAAATCACAACTTTCTCTTCAAAAGACTGAATTGCATCATAAAGAATAGCAGGATCTTCATATTCATCTGGACAGGTGAACTGGTCCTGGTATTAAAAGAAAGCCATGGCTATGATCAGAAGTGTTTATGAAGAGATGAAAGCTTTTAGATTTAGAAACTTCGCTGAGATTGCAGGCCACACTGCATTTGTGCAGAGACCACCTGTAGCAAAAAGCCACGATGAAGGCGTGTAGCAGTTTTGGATTGCTACACTGGAATATCCCACCATTAGCCCATCAGTTGGTTTTGATTATTTTTGGTAGCTCCAGGCTGTGCTGGTGATACCTGATACCCTAAAAAAGTAAGATGAGAATCTACAGTATCACTGAATTGTCTGAAATGATCTGACTTTAAGAATGCACTTTTAGTCACTTACTACACAAAGCTGATATGTCTGTTCAATGGTTGAATAAATGAGGGATGAGTTTTTCTGTATGTAAAATTATTTTAATGAAGTCATTAAAAAACATCCTAACTTCCTAGTAATTAATGGTTTGAATTTTATAAGCTCATTTCTTAGAAGTAATTCACAGCAACTCATCTTTCTGAAGTTGACTTTCATCTGAATTTAACTGGCCAACATATAAAAATTCTAGTTGTCTTTGTTATGCTTACCACATTGTCAGCATAATAAAAGTTATATTATATACAAGAAGTACTTGCTGCAGAAAAGAGAAAAACTCACTTGATGTAGTTTCAATGACATTCTAATTGCAGGAGCAACAACTTGGTGCAAGAGGTCCATATCTGCAAACACCCATTCATCTCTTGATGTAATTCGAAAATCTCCTTTGAACAAGGCATGAAGGCCATGGAGGAAAGAGTCTAAACTGTAAACAATCATATTAATTACTCACAGATTCAATTCCCATTACAGCTGTTGAAAATAAGATCTCTTTCATAGTAGTTGTGATGGAATTCTCTGAGCCTGAGAAAGAAAATGGATGTTTCCAAAATACTGCAGAACAAGAACAGATGGACATTTTTGTGGAATCAAATAAGCAATTAGCATCTTACCCATTAAACCAACACTCAGAAAGAGGATCAAAGGCAATAGGGAGGCACTGGTTTAACACACTTACTGATAAATGAGTATCAAGCACAGTACACATATCCGATTTCCAAGATTTTGTAACCTAACCTCTTTTTTTTTCTTTGCAATCATCCTGCCTACTTGGACTCTGTGCGAATGTTGTTCTTGGTTGTGACCTGCTATAAAGGCCTTAATATAGTTGCAACTGAAAGCTTAGTGCTTATGTTAGATTGTGAGGTTTTGGAAATGTTGTGAATGAAATGACTACACAAAAGAGTGAAAGAAGAAGCAATATACATATGTATGTATGTATGTATGTATGTATATGACATTTGTTCCCATTTTGAGGGTCTCCTTCTCAAAGGAACATAAATCGCTTTTTGAAATACCATGGATGAAATGGCTACACAAAAGAGTGAAAGGAGAAGCAAATTAAAAAAAAAAAAAGACATTTGTCCCCATTTTGAGGGTCTCCTTCTTAAAGGAACATAAATTGCTTTTTAAAATTTTTTCACCCAAGATGATTTCTCAGAAATTGACAAGGAAATAGGAGAAATTCTCCAACATGTTTCAAAGATGGGACAGTGCCTTAGCAGTAAATGGAAAAACTTCTCTTATGATGTCTTCTCTTAGAATTTAATTAAACCTGGGAGTCTGCACACCACAAGACAATAGTATAATAGAAGTCAGAATAATCAGACACCTCTGGCTCACCTCAGAACTAAAAAAGTGAAGAACACCACACTCTATCCATAAGAATTTCTCCAAAATTATCTTCTCCTTTCAAGGAATGTTTCAAGTCTCTTTCATTAAATCAAGAGAATTAGTAGAAAAAATGCAGAATAATTTATTTGCCTGGCACTACAAGTTCATATTGCTTTTTCATTGGGGAACGGCAGGTTCTCCTGGTCCAGTCCTTCTGCAGAAATATGTTCTGCTAAGACACACTAAAATAGGTGTCTGCCATCTCTGCCTTCACCCCCAGGATGCTTATGAGGAACTTGAAAAAAAGTCAGGAGGAAGAAGCTCATCTGCTTGGGATGTCCAAGAACAGATCTGCCATGATCCTGCCCATAATCATCCAACTGAAGGGTGCTTGTTTCTTTGAACATCCCCAGTCAGATGCTTCCAACCTCCCTAGACAAGTAGGCCTGGCTACAGCTGGCATCTGGGTTTCTAAGTGCATGTGTTTATAGGAATATGCAAAATTATAAACAACGGTCAGGTTTGTTGCAGTGAATATAGGAAAGTAAAAAAAAAAATCAAATGAAAGTTACTGGCTATCAGGACCTGATGAGATATTAGGAACTAATGTCAACACTCTATGCATATCCCTAGAATTAGGAACAAAGAAGGATGTCCTATAACAAGTAAAACATTTTAAAACATCTATCCCAGTATTGTTTGAGTTCATACCTTCTAATAAACTGTATTTAATTTTTCTGGCCAGTGTTACTGTGAGTTGGGTGGCCTTACTAACTGAAGAATGAATTAATAATAACAGTTTACCTGGTTGGGGCATACATAAGGAAACATAGCTACAAAGATGCTTTCTATAACAAATCTCTTTTTTGAAGATGTAATGCTACATTCTCTGAGTTGCACTGAACAAGTTCAACAGAACTTAATTCAGATGTTCTATTAATTGTTGGATACACTGCATAATTTGAAAGATAATGTTTGCCATCTACTGACATTTACAGTGACAGGTAAATCAAACATTATTTACATACATTCCATAAGAATATTTGCCAGCATATCTTGCCTTTAAACCCTTTTCCTAAACTGATTAGACATAATTCATGTGTAAATGAATGCAAATTACTGGCTCACATATATAATGTAAACTTCACTTCTGATGTAGCATACAGCTTAGTATTCCTCCCTAAACATTCATTTTGCCCTATAATGGTAATGGTTTCCTAATGACTATGTCAGTATTAGATGTCTTACTTAGTAGAAAGTGATGTGTAACATCAACACTTTGCCCACTTACTCCCCAAATAATGTTAATGAGACTGATGTATGTAACTACGGTTTTCCATTAAAAACAAACACATTATGAACCACCTCCTCTCAAAACAAAGCAAGTGAGTGATGGCCCAAGGTGAAAAGAACAACAGGGAAAAGGCAGCAATTGTGCATACACTTACTAGGCAATAAGTCTCACTAAACAGAATGAGATTTTTTTCACGTCTTCTTCTAGCATTAGAAGAATAGACAGGTTTGGTACAAAATAGTAAGGTTATAATAGCTGTTTATAAATGGTTATTAGAATATTCTGCAATAGATATCCAAGAGGACAGGGAGACATGAAATAAGGAATTTGATTGCCTGGTACATTAGCATCAATAAATGGCTACTTTAGTATCTGAGTGGTATATTTGTAATGTTTTAGAATTATGATTAATTAAACAAAAAAATTATGAACATCTATGGATCATTTCAGGAAGCAACTGGTGCATCCAGCTAACTGTTAGAGATGTGGTGCTCAGAAAGAGACATTGGTTCATATAATGTGGTCATATGCTATGGCAGCTCTCATTGTATTGGTAGCATATATTTCACAGATATAAATGTGGACTATAATCCACACAAGTTATGCACTAATATAATTGTTAGTTGTTACAAGAATTACTTTAATATCACAAGAGTCTTGGTTGTATTCACATATTTTCAGTTATATCAATTCACCTAGAGACTTGACTTCCATTCAAAAAGGTTCTTGTATTTATATTAAATGGTAAGGGTAAATTCAAGAGAATAAGTAAGGTAGTATTCTGTTATGTACCCCTGTATTACAAACACAGAATTATTCAGTACTGTACGTATTCATCTGAAAAAGTTGCCAAGTTACTGACTTCAAAATTAATTTTACATTTTCTTCTTGTACTTCTTTCTTTATAATAAATGGAAAAACAAATCATTTGGATGAATTAATACATTTCTGAGCCACTAGCAAATTATTACTGTCATAAGTATTATCACATGATAAAAACAAATTACCTGATGGCCATATTGTGTGATGCTGTTCCCAGTGCTCTTCTACCAAGAATGCACAATGCAAAGGAAAGAGTTACTAAAGGAGAATCTTCATCACACTCTACAGGCTGCAAAATATGTAATATTTTTATTTAGTGCTACAAGAAAAGCTCACTAACATTACATCAGTCCATTGCTATATGGTGTTGTCAGCCCTTTGAAGTAGGACAGGCCAGGAAACAGTTTCCACAAGTTTGCCTGGAACTCAACTTTATTGAGATAGATTGTAGTAACAGAATCCTGAAAGTCTGTCTGTGTTTTCCCTTCCCTCCTTCTTATATCCCAGTAAATGAAGGTGGATCCAGTCTGAGCTTCTTTCTCATGCTTTCTCTGTTTCCTGGACTTAATATATGCTTTTGTTTCTGTAACCATTTCTGCAACGTTACTGCAAGGTCCTTGCTGTGACTTTCTACAGTTGTAAAACTGCCTAGAAATTGTACCATTTTATTTCTGAGAAAAGGATCTTTCGATTCCACAACTTAACATTAATGGTTAGCCAACCCATTTGGCTAAGGCTAAAGTTGGCATATTTTATTTATTCTAAAAATATTTTTAAAAAAAGACTACACAGATTTGACCACCAGCATCTTCTTAGTTTCTCTTTGTCCAATATTGTTGTTGGTACATTATTTTCATTCCTTTGTCAAAATCATTTGGGAGGACAGGTTCAATAACTAACAAATCAAATATATAACCACAAGGGCAACAGGTGTCCTCCAAATATTTGGGAATTCAACACTCATTAGCACTATCAATCACAAGGCACTGCTAGGAGTTTTAGTCAGAAACATCTGGATGACACCAGGTTGCCTACTCTGAACACAGTATAATGCCATACTTTTTCCTATTTTCCCCAGTTTGTTCTCTTTTTCTCCTTACTTTTTAAGGAGCTTTTAAGAGTCACACACTTCTCCAACTTGGAGTTCTCCAGATGTGTTGATCTACAGATTCTGTAACCTTTGGCTGTGCTGGCTGGGGATTATGGGAAATGTCATCTAATAACATTTTGGAAGCACTAGGTTGGGGAGGGCTGGTTGATTTGTTGGGAAATATTTAGCATAATAGGAAATTTATTACAGTGATTTGTGATTAAATGTGCTAAACATCCTGAAAAAAATAAAGAAACACTATCATGTTAATGTGTTAATAAGAACCAATGAAACTACCCACAAGAGGTTATATACATTTGATAAAGAAATAAATATTTACCTCCACTCTTTTCCCAGCGCAGAACTGAATCCAATCTAAGTAAACACTACAGAAACTTGCTCTGGTGATTCCTTGAAGGCAAGGTACATAATCATCATCAATATTGATGCTGAACATTGCAAGGTCACGCTCAATATAATGCCATTTGGAGAAAGGCTGTAGTGTCTTCTGGAATGATTCGTCTCTTAGCCAGGATAGGATTTTGGGGGAGCTTGCAGTAAAATATATAATGCTCTGTAGATGCAAACAGAAGTATGATTGCTTTAGTAACACATTGAACTAGGATATATTTAATTATTTCAAACATTAGAGAAATGCCTCTATGGAGAATTAAGTAAGCCCTGTCTCAGATTGTACTCTACTCTATACTTTCTTCCACCTTGTACACTTCTGGGACTTTGCAATACATGAGGGGAACAGGCTGGATGCCGGTAAGGAGAATGTTTCAACGGTGCATAATAAAAGAAAGGAAACCACCAGAAAGACAACATTAGGACATTGGAAAGGATTAATCAAACAAGTATTATACCTGTTTAAGATTTATGAATGTCATTCTTCCAGTTTTATATTGAAATTTGCATTTAAACATGGGGAAAGGGACCTACTCAGTGCAAAAGGCAGACTTTTAATTTTTCAGCCTTTAGAAAGTAATAAGCATACTATGCCTCCTGAGAAGAGTTATGCTGACACAACAAAATTGGGGGGGGGGACCCACCCCTTTTAAAGAAGCAGTCTTTTGTGGTCTTGAAAAAGGAATAAACTGACAAGCAAATGTGAAGGCACTCAGAGTTTAAATAATCTCCAGTAGCCATGCAGTAAATAATGTATGCAGAAAGGCTACAGGAACTGACCCATTTTATTAAGAAGAGAGCAAAATTATTTTAAAGTTGATAAACAGCCTCTCACCCAAACCTGGTTGTCAGCCAGAGGGCAAGTAAAAAAAGAAGAATGTTAAAAAAATGAAGACTGAGATATGAGCCTGCTGTAAATGTAAATATAGGAGTGTTGCATTCTGTTCCTGACACAATGTGTACAATATTTTATTTCTTTTATTGGGGCATTTGTATTGTGATTTTTTTTTTAAAAAAAAAAAACCCATTAGCTGCTCAGAGTTGCTTTGTGAGAGGGCAGCCATTCCATATAAACGAAGATAATAAATAACAGACCTCTTTCCAGCAGATGAAAGTACCATATTACCTTTATGTAATATCTAATGAGTATCCTTCGCAGATCAAACACTTGGAGCATGGTGGCTGCACTGTTGTCAATGATATTATACCCTTCTAGAATGTACTGAGTCCGTGTTATTTCCCAGGTCAGCCACCGAAGGTTGAAAGCTGCATTGCATGAGAGCATGTGAGGGAAGTGGCCTGGCTTACAACAGCAGCAACTTTCATTGTCCTCATCCCCTTCTGTTATAGCCTCCACCTCCCTTTGCTGGCAGTATGTCCCTTGGAAATGAAACACAGGATAAACACAGTGGCAGTAACTGCAGAGACCAATGCAAATAAGCTCTTCATAGAAAATTGCTGGGCCTCCTTCAAGTAGTTAATACATAGCAATTAAACTAAAGAAAGGGAGAGCTATGACAATAAATAAAATGGGCTGATTATTCTGTGCTGAACAGAAACTGCTAAGGAACAGACTGTTTATTTCACCTTACTAAGTAAGGCATGTCAAATTCTACACTATGGCCTAGAATTAAATAAAGTACAATAACATCCAAATACTTTGCCTTAAATGTAGAAAGATGGGTATGCAATGCAGAAGTGCACGCCAAGTCTTAGCCTTCTAAATGTCTTAGACATAAACTCAGAGTACTCTTTCTGGTTTTATATCCTGGCTATGCCTGTTCATCAACCAGGCCATAACAATTTAAGAGAGCTTTGTTTTGCAAGTTAGTTCTGATAAAATCCAGTCTTTTCAAACCAACTTGGATCAAAAGGATCTGAGAAAGTGGGTGGATGGATGAACAATCCTACAATTGAATTTCATAAACCCCAAATCCAAAACAGTCAGTACTATGGTATTTCTCCTATGATCCATTTATAAAAGTACAGGTATTGGCTTGAATAACAAATCTGATTACTAGTGCTGACTGAACTTCAACCTGCTGTCTCAAATCCATGCAAGCAGCAGGTAACTTTTGTGTATATTCTGTACAGTATTCATATAACATTTGAACATCAAAGTTCCTAATAATAAGGAGGCCACATCACTTCATGACTTAAAATAAAAATTATTCTGATTAATTTGTTTATTTTTAAAAATCATAACCTTAAATATATATATTTAGTAAGGCATGGACTATGTATAAACAAGATAGACATAGGCAATATATACCCAATCCGAAAAATATATTGAAAGAAAAAATAAAAGTATGCGTTGTATTTGAATAAATATGACCAAAGAGGGCAAAACATATTAAATCAACATAGATATGTGAACAGGCTTTGCTCTGTACACTAAGCTGATAACATATTTTATGATTACATCAATGCACCCTGCATCCTTTTTTTCTTATTTGTTCTTGTTTATTGATCAATAATATCACTAGAAGCCTCCTAATTTTTGTATGATAACAAACACTGGGTAACTGATCCCTTTATATACTTGAAGGCATATTCTTTAGTAGGGTCTCTTCTCCCTGACCACATTCACAAAGGTGTCTATATCCCATTTCTGAGTAATAATGGAAATCCAAATATTCATAACTTTCAGCTTTGCAAACATAAATGTCTACAATTCAGCTCACACATCACAAAAGGTCAATTAGATTTTTTCTGTTAGATATTTAATCATTGTATTTAGATTCTATTATTTCATAAGTGTGTCATTTTACTGTATGTCTTTTGTTACAGAGGTAAGAAAAGTCAAGTTCTAAAAACCCTGAAGGCATGTTCACATGTAACAAATTCAGTTTCCCAGATTATCCAGTATAGATTTCTCTAGGAGAAAAAGAAAAAGTAAAGTACAATATATAGAACTAGGAAACAAATAGCTATTAATGATGAAGGCTGAAGCTTTATACACTGTTCCTTAGGAATACAGTAAATACTATTGAGTTTAATAGGACTCACTTCTAAAAAAAAATGTAGAAAGGTCAGGAGTGCAAGTTTATTTCATATTACATAGTATCTAATAGACCACCAGGTCACCATTATGTTTAACGCCAGTGGAATCAGTTATTAATCCCCTGTTTTGGAATGAACCAAATCTAATATGTGACAAGAAAACTATTTCAGCCTTGGAAAGAATGGCCCCAGCTGTCACTTTCTGGCAGCATTTATCACATGAACTCCTTGTGTCGAAGAATCTGAAATGATTTAGCAACTGCCCAAATAGACAATTTCATGCTGATTTTCAGATCCACGAAGAGCATGCAATGAATGAATGCTCTGCTCTTTCTTGACCGCAGCTCTTTAAGCTATGGAGAGTGCTTACCTCTAAATTCTAGCCCCCTGAGCTGGAATGTGACAAGACCATTTCCAATTTCTATCAAGTGAACAAAAGCGTTTAAATAATCAGATGCCAAAATAAAACAGTCCCCGGAACTGTAGTTTCCCCAGCGTCCAAGAATCAAATCTCCACAAAGGGTCTCCTGCAGAGATCTTGTTAGGTGCTCATAAAAGATGGAGTTAAGGTTATCATCGTTTCCTAAAATCACAGGAACACAAAGAGTGTAAAAGGGATGAAAAACCACCAGGCATGAATCTTTTGAGAAGAATCCTATTTCCTTACTGCTTGCTTAACTGCAAGTTCCTTTTTTGGAGACTAAGATGGGAATTTTGGAAGCACATATCATGTCAAAAATGAATGCATTTTACCAAGTTCATTTTTATCGCATGTATCAGGGACTACTCGTACAGTCACTGTGAGGTATTTCTTAGATCCTAAAGTAGGCTAGCAGAAGTTTGAAGGCACTGGAACATTTGCTGCAACCAACAGATCTGGCCTTATAAATGGCTAGGATTATCTTTTTTTTTTTTTTTTTTTGTCTGCGCTCAGTCATTA